GCTGTAAAAACCTTGTTGTAAAAATATAGATCTTTATAGTGCATTAACTTCTAACTCAGGTTGATTGGAAGGACACTAGATATAGGCTTGGCCGAACTAGTATAAAAATCAGTGTTTGATTTCTCTGATCCCTATCTTTGCATATAATCGATTAATTTGTCATTGTATTTGATTAAGCTTATTGTTGCATTACATACAAACTTGCTTGCGTTTCAAGCAAAGTTCAAAGACATCCTTCTTTGCGAAAAAGATTTTGAAAGCGAACGTTTTTACGCATCACCAATTCACCCCCTCTTGGTGTGAGAAACTAAGCACTCATTTTTTAACAAGTTAAAATATGTTGAAGGATATGATTTGATTTCTATATTGCATGTAGTAATAATGTAGGTATAAATTATGTAGTTGTTTGATAATATGATATAAAATATGTGTTATTATGAACATATTGCCTGCATATGTGATGTGATGAGGCATATGAGAAACATGTGTCTCTGCTAGAGGTGAGGAGGCTTTGGGACCTGACCTTGATGACTCCAATTGTGGTCTCTAAACAAGTAGTAGGGAGTGGTGGACTCGACATAGTAGTTCTAAAGGTGTACTTGCTTAGGGAAGCTCTCTAGAAGAGTGATGGGAAATCACACTTAAACTGATTTTGGATGGTAAGCTACGAGCGAGGACTAGGTTGATAATTGAACCTCTTGGGCCGAGTCTATGCATGGATTCATTTTTGTTGGATGATATTTGATAATGTGCTATTTATAAATTAACGAAAGATTAAATAAGTTGTGTTAGGACATGTTATTATTATTTATTTATAAGCTTTAATTATTATGTTTCTTTTAAGTTAGTTCATCCTTGTATGTTTATGGTTGTGGTTTCCACCAGTGATAATTGTATGACTTGTGTTNCCATAAAGGAAATAAAATCACATTGATTCCTCTAACACCTGAACAAGTGAAAGAGGATGAGATAAAAATCAAAGAAAAAATTGAAAAAGAAAGAATACAAGAAAATAGGTTGGACAAGCAACCTTCTCAAGAAAAGAAGAAGGAGACAAAGGTATGCATGTTGTTAACTTCTTCATTAATAAGTAAATACCTTGACTCTTCTTCTAAAAAACATCACTTTGTTTCTTCATTTTCTCATGGCGAATGTTCAAAACAAAGTGAAACCAAAACTATATTAAAGGCCAAGACTTCTAATAAAATTTTTGTCAAAAGGCCTTCATTTTCTCTTTCATCTTTGCATACATCCTTTTAATCATACTAATTGTTGTTATATTTTGTAGATATATTTTTGACCCAGGTGGAAAATAAAAACCACAGTTGTGCTTCTTTTTTTCTTCCCGATTTGAGGACAAATCGTTTTTAAAGAGGGAGGGAATGATGGCAACCCCTTTAGGGACTTCCCATCCAAAGAAGTATCAACTTAAGATTAAGAAAGGGGAGTTCAATAAACAAAAGGATCTTTTCTTTCTAAGTCTTAGCATGTTCTTCTTTAAACTAAATATCTTTACCTTGTTTTGTAGGTTACCAATAAAGGTGGAGAACCATGCCTATACACCTTGAGAGGCTAGCCAAGCAAAGGATAACAAAGGAAGCAATGAAGAGTGCATCTGCTGCCACCGAATAGCGCACAGCGCACCTACCGCTCAGCGACAGTAGACCAACTTCATCACCTTGAACATGTTTTGAATGCTTTGCACATGAAACATGCAACCCAACCGTGACACTTCTCCTGCATACTTCTTTTAGATTCATGCACGTGTTCAATATGTAGCTTTCCTTGTACTTCTCCAAGCTTTTCTTCTTCTATAAAAGAGAGCTTGATTCATTGTAAAAGATAACTTGAGTTTGATAATGAAATGCTGCTGAAATCCAGCTATTCTCTCAAGTTCATTGCTGATAGTTGATTTAGCTTGTCTCCCTCTAGCTCCCTTCCCGTTTGGAAGGCCGTCTGAGTTAGAATTCCTCACCACACCACATCCAAACACTGCCAGACATTCCATCGAACACCTTGCAAGCACCAGAATATCTCCATCCATTCTTAATTCCGCTGCTACTTCTGGACCGAGAAGCCACTCCATTCTTGAAGGTGGAGGACGCTTCTATCAAAAAGTTTTCAAAAAGTGTGCTAAGTTTTTTCACTTAATCGATTGCATGCAATGTGTATTCAACTAAGTTTCTTGTTGATTTGAAAATTGCTTAAATGCCTGACATAATTGTAACAACGATCATATTTTTGAATATGTTGACCAAGCATTTATGACAAATCGATTATATTAAATGTGTATTCAATTAATGTTTTTGATTACTATTATTTTGTTACAACTGTCAAATGTATTCGACTACATTAATAGCTAAATCGATTAAAATGCGTCTGATGTGTGTAATACTATAAATTGACGTTGATTTGAATTCTGTAAGAACTTTTGGCAGTTAACACTTTCATATATTTCAGAAAATTCTATGTGATCTTAAAGAGGAAAGAAAAGCTCCAAGAACCAAAGATTGACCATGGTGATTAAAGACTTGAAGGTTTCTTGCGAAGCAAGGTTTACTGGATTTGAACGTCTGATCTATCTACACAAAGAGGTGTGCACTGCATGATCAATTAATCTGCAATCATGAAGATTGGCTGGTGTTCCCTGTTGTGATTACAGGAAGAAGAACTGTGTTTTTGACTTTGAGGGTAACTCAAAGGGTTTGATAATAGAAGAGGGTGTTCTTGTTGCGTGTTTGTATTGTTTACTGCCTATATTTAGATTAGTGGGTTAGAGAGGTGTTTTACATTTTTACGTGAGGTCGCTGTAAAAACCTTGTTGTAAAAATATAGATCTTTATAGTGCATTAACTTCTAACTCAGGTTGATTGGAAGGACACTAGATATAGGCTTGGCCGAACTAGTATAAAAATCAGTGTTTGATTTCTCTGATCCCTATCTTTGCATATAATCGATTAATTTGTCATTGTATTTGATTAAGCTTATTGTTGCATTACATACAAACTTGCTTGCGTTTCAAGCAAAGTTCAAAGACATCCTTCTTTGCGAAAAAGATTTTGAAAGCGAACGTTTTTACGCATCACCAATTCACCCCCTCTTGGTGTGAGAAACTAAGCACTCATTTTTTAACAAGTTAAAATATGTTGAAGGATATGATTTGATTTCTATATTGCATGTAGTAATAATGTAGGTATAAATTATGTAGTTGTTTGATAATATGATATAAAATATGTGTTATTATGAACATATTGCCTGCATATGTGATGTGATGAGGCATATGAGAAACATGTGTCTCTGCTAGAGGTGAGGAGGCTTTGGGACCTGACCTTGATGACTCCAATTGTGGTCTCTAAACAAGTAGTAGGGAGTGGTGGACTCGACATAGTAGTTCTAAAGGTGTACTTGCTTAGGGAAGCTCTCTAGAAGAGTGATGGGAAATCACACTTAAACTGATTTTGGATGGTAAGCTACGAGCGAGGACTAGGTTGATAATTGAACCTCTTGGGCCGAGTCTATGCATGGATTCATTTTTGTTGGATGATATTTGATAATGTGCTATTTATAAATTAACGAAAGATTAAATAAGTTGTGTTAGGACATGTTATTATTATTTATTTATAAGCTTTAATTATTATGTTTCTTTTAAGTTAGTTCATCCTTGTATGTTTATGGTTGTGGTTTCCACCAGTGATAATTGTATGACTTGTGTTATTCGCAAGTAGATAGTGTTGTAGATGGTAGTTCAGATGCACAATAGTGAGAAGCGTGGGAATTGCTTTGGAAGCACATTTTCTTGCACTAGTGTCTAGACAAACGTTAATGATTGAGTATTCTTAAATTTTTTCTTATTATTGGAATAAACTTTAATGAGTAAAACATTTATTTTATCAAATAAATGAATGTTTTAATATTTTTTTAATGATAAAAAAATAATTACTTTTAGTATATGCATGTAAAATATTTAAGTTTTTAGTAGCATTCTAAAGGGATGTTAGAGGGCATACTCACAAAGATAGTCAAATATAAGGTAATCTTGCTCCAAATATTCAACCTCTACATAAAATAGTCTCTTCTATAGGTGATGATAAATGATCTCTTAGCAAAACCACAAAGATAAAGGGTATATAAGCAAAAGCAAAAGCACAAGTAAGATTCTAGAAACTAAATCAAAATGAGATGTCTTGAAAAGGAGAAAACCCTAACTTGATCTCCTAACATTCTTATGCACCTATTATAAGAGAATGTCAACTCTTCATGATCACCATACACATCCTACTTGTTTGGTGTCAAGTCTAATCCTCGTCTCTGAGTTTACACTAACTTGACTTATGAAAACAAATATTAAAAATTAATTTCACTTTTTATATATATATATATATATATATATATATATATAACGACTACATTAATATTTTTTTTATACTTATGAAGATTGAATTAAAAAAAATCACATTAAATAAATATAAAAAATATTAGGATAAAAAAAACTAATTAAAACTAAAACTATTTATCATAAAAAAAAATGATAAAATTGAAATAAAAGTTATAAAATAAAAATGCAAAACCAATTCAAATTGAAGTATACAACTTGATTTGGTTTTATTTAATTTAAACATTTTAATTTTAAAGCTAAATCGCATGTTACTTTAATTTCAAACGTAATTTAAACCTACAAATTAAGGAAAACTAAAGACACTATTTTTGAGACATCTTGTAAACTTTTAAAATCATTTCATTTCATCACTAATAATCAGATTATTATAAATATTTATTTACTTTTATCTTAAATATTGTCTAATAATAAATATTAATATACAATTAATTTTTGAAATGTTCATAATTATGTCAAAATTTATAAAAACATAATTCCATAGAGCGATTGCACCAAAGAGAAAAAAATATAAAAGCTGACAGTATTTATTAGGAAACAGGTTTCGGGTAAATGACATTTGTTTTTTCTCCTGAATAAAGAGAAAAGAAAAAGACTAGCTGATAGTGGTTTCACAAGATACGAAGCGAGGTTTGATTTTGATGATGGGGGCAGACATTAACGTTAGAACACAGAAACCCGAGATGCACTATGATGCGTTGTGTAGTGATAATAAGAAAAAGAGAGTCGAAAAAGAAATCGAAAGTGGCTTCTATTCTCATCTCCCCATTCTCTCACTCACCATAATATAATCTCTTCTTTTTCTCCAAAGACTTCCCTCTTCTTTCTCTCTCTCTCAACCTTTACCAACTAAGCAAAGCAAAACACTCAGCTATAACTTTCTCCAATGGCAGTAGCAAAGTTTGTTTATCTGCTATTATTAACCACGATGGTGGGAGTCCAGAATGTGGTTGGTCAAGGTACAGCGAGTTGGTGTGTGGCCAGGAGTGATGCTAGCAATGATGCACTGCAAACGGCGTTGGACTATGCATGTGGGGCTGGTGCTGATTGTCTTCCTCTTCAGGCTGAGGGACTCTGTTTTCTCCCTAACACCATTCAGGCCCACGCTTCTTATGCCTTCAACAGCTACTATCAGCGCAGAGCCAGAGCTCCTGGGTCCTGTGATTTTGCTGGCACTGCCACCATCGCCACCAGTGATCCCAGTATCTCTCCTCTCTTGTTCTCATTTACATTCTTTTCTATTACTCAGTCATTCTATTTTGGGTTGGAATCCCACATCGATTACTCCTGAGTTTGACAAGGGCATCTCACATCGATGAGATTTTACATGTTTTTACTCTTAAGCTGTTTTTTTTAATAGTTTCATTTGTTTCTCGGATTTGTTTCGGTGTTTGCAGGTTATGGATCTTGTGTGTATCCTTCTACTGCAAGGTATGGCCTTTTCTGTATGGTTTAAATTCACTGTGTTACTAATATTATATTAATATTAAAGATATGTTAATAAAAAATGTGTCTACTGCTGATATTATTATATGATACGAAGAGTTTTACTTTATTATGGTTTGGAGAGTGTATTTATTTACAATTGGTGAAAGTGGAGCCGTTTGTGTTTCTTGACATTGAAGTAAGTGGATTCTCATTCTTGTTGTCAGTATTTTTTGCGGTTTATTTTCACCTTTCTTTCTTTCATTCATTCATTCATTCTCTTTGGTACCTTTTCGTCTGTCTGGTTGATATGGCGTGTCTGATACGATAGAGAGGACATGGAACACGTAATGGTGGTGGAGAAAATGGCTGTTTTGAGAGAGAGAGAGAGGATTTGTTTGTTTGAGTGGGAATGAATGAGTGGATTGAATGGGAATGAATGAGTGGATTGAGGAAGATGGGTCTGTGACTCCTGTCGTATGGTAGCCTAATTTTCCTCTTTTCTGTTCAAAATTTGTTGTATCTGTGCTGCATCCCAGTGTTTTTTTAACTAACAGTTTCTCGGTGAGAAAAGTAGCATGATTGTTGAATTCTTTTAGAAATAAAAGATAAATTCATATTTAAGAATAAAAATATCCTTTTTGAAGTTTTCATATTTCAATCAATTTTATATGAAATTTCAAACTAAATTATTTTAGACATATTTTATTAGCTATAATTTTATTTTGTAAACTCTACATTTGGGTTCATTTATTTAAAAATTATTTATTTTAACAGCCATGCATATCAACATTTTGTTCTCTATCATGCTATTTCTTATTTAACCTTATTATTATAAATAAGGTCTAAAAGAACTTATTTTAAAGCATGCGACTAAAAAGCAAAATTTTATACAATTATAATTATCTATTTTAAAAACCATTTTAATTGAAATTTGATTATTAACAATAATTTTCTTCTAGTACTCAAATTGAATCTTGAAAATGTGGGTATATATTAAATCTGTTTTTTTTGGTATAAAATGTATTTGTTATTTAAAGAAGTTTAATATAATTAAATTAAAATATTATGTTTATTTACTTTCTAAATTTTTAAATGAAATTTTATCAAAAATTTAATTTTGTATTAAAATTCACCACTAAAAATAATTTAATATTATATATATATATATATTACTGTGTAAAAGCTTTCAAAAAAAAGCGTCGAATTAATTTTAATTTTGGAACCAAACGGCATCTGTGCTCTTGCTTCTTCAAATTTTCAAAATCTTGGGCTGCACAATATTATTGATGGTACTATTTTACTGACACACTGTGTGCTCCCAGAATGTGTTGGTTACTTTTTCTCCATTTTGTCATTGGACCGTTGGATAAGTCTTCTGCGTGGCCCACTTCATCCAACGGCTCAGGTTCACCATTATCGTACGCTGTTGAGCTTCATAATCATGAATCATGCATTATCTATGGTATTTGCTTTTAAAAAAGAATGCGTATTTGCTTTATGGTGTGGTATGGTAAAGTGAGTGTATCTGATGCAACATTTTAGTGTTTCAGTAATTGATTTTTATGTCAGATGTTGTTTTCGGACATTAATAAATAATTTAAGGAAAATGGTATACCATACCAGTACCTTGTTCGGATGTTATTTCTCGATCCTGAAATTGACTCATCCACACATGATTCTATGGACATTGTTAGATGAGTACTTTGCATCAATGGGTGAAATGAACTCACCAACACTTTTCATATATTTGATTCTAGTTGCTCAGGTTTTTGTCTTTATAGCAACTATAGCATCAATCCATTTGCGTATGATAAGAAAAGATATAATTGACTTTTTTTTTTACTAGAAATCAGGACTGTGTAGTGGAGTCACAGATCCAATTGAAATAAAAAATATTGATTGTAAAAACATCAACTTTATTGAAACGCAATTTAATAAAAACAAATGTGTCTGAGATTAATTTCCATATACCTTTTGATAACGTAAAATTAAGCCCATCAAAATTTAACTGATAAAAGAAAGAAAGAAAGCCTAAAAGAAGATAGAGCACCTAGTAGGATTTGACATGACACAGTTAGGTAAAGTTTGGTAGTAAGGTGACTTACATTACATGAAAGGAATATTTAGATGAATAATCACATTTAGATACATAACGGGTGATTTATTATGAACTATGTGAATAATCAATTAAATGTTTATTTGATTAGCAAGTTTAATTAATTGATGTGGTAAAACGTATTCACCTAGACAGAGCAAAAAGGGAATCATGCCTGTTGTACACAATAGGGGATCACATGAAGATGCCGGGTGTGATCTAATCATTGCTTGGGATGTGTTTGACCCCTTTTGTGTTGATTTCTCATGTTTCAACGCGTAAAAAACTGCTGATCAAGACCAGGGACAACTATATGGCATGCTGGTCTAGTTCTTTTGTCCTCTCACGTGTCATGATGAATCTTTATTTTCTTTGTAGAGGGATCACACCCACATGGTTATTACAATGTAGAAGTTAGATGCATCACAACTTTCCTTCAAATGATAAGTTGAAATGTTAATTAAAACAGTTTTCCATAGTGGGAAAGGTTAACTCCAAACTAGATTTAGGGAACTGAATTTTGTGTTAAGCCATGAAAATGCTTTGCATTGATAGCTGAATATGTTAGTCAAAACTTTTAACAAAAGAAATTTATTATTTGATTTTCAGTACTGCGGGAGGACCAAATACACCAATAACAACACCTCCTATGAACAACCCTAATGTGCCATCATCTACAACAACAACACCACTCTACGGAGGGGGCAATAGCGGTGGACTAACTCCTGGAATGAGCACTCCATTCCCTGACAGTTCTAGAGCACCATTAGAAGCCACAGCCACATGGTTTTTTGTTTTCTTTTCCTCTCTCATTGTATCCATTATCTCCTAGTTTTTGTATGATCTTCGGGAGGCTTACAGTTTTGTCAGAGGTTGAAGGAGCCTTTGGTTGTTTATAACCTTATTTTAAGCAACTACCACTTATACCCATTATTTAGGTTATTATTAGGTTATGAACAAGTTAAGCATGGCATGGTGGTATTCATTCAGGAAAGAACAGCTAGGTTGTCGCATGGTCTTTACTGATGTGATTATTGATTTACAGGGCATAAATTTAATTCAATAGTTCAAATTAACTGTCCCCTTTTGCAAACATTGCTCATGTTTTACAAATAGTGTAATCTACTCTTAGCTTATAATTTTTTTAATTTTTTTTTGCTTTTACATATAATTTCTTTTTTCATTCCTCAATTTTTTTCCCTATCAGTTAAGCACTTTCACCACTGAAATAAAAAAAATGGATATTTGCGTTTATCTGAACACTTATGAAGCAGAACCATCTTGATTCTGGTGCATTTCAATGTGTAAAGATAGACTCTTGCGATTATATGAATATAAAAAACGTGGGCTCCATAATCTATCGTTATATATATATATATATATATATTTATATATATATATATATATATATATATATAATAACCTATTGTAGTTACAGAATCATATTTTTCTTTTCATTAATATAAGGTTCAGCAATGAATTATTGCATTTAGGAGTGGGGACGTTTTGCATGGTGTGAACAACTTTTCATTCTTACTAATTGGAACCACTTAACCAGGTAATGAATATACATTGGAGAAAAAATTATGAGTTCGGACATTGTACTTCGTTATAACAACTAAAGCATATTTACGGGAAGTAGAAACATGTAGATTTTTGAATCGAATTCTAAATTTTTATAGACTTTGATTTTGGAAGAAACCGAAACATGACATTATAATTAAATAATGACAAAAAAAATTAGATTTTGATTATTTTAATAATGGAAACTTAATACTTCTTTTATTTTAAAAATAATTTAATTTTAAAGGTATATTAAGTTTCAGTTTTTTATATAAAAGAAATATAATATCCTTAAACTTAAATTACTTTTAAAATTAAAAAGGGATTAAACTTTAATTATTATCATAATCGAAGTCTAATCCTTATGCTTTAGTTTTAGTAATAGGTGAAATCTAGTGTAAATGTTTTTTGAATTATTTTTTTTCTGTTTAAATATCAAATCTAGACAAAATTTATACATAGCAAGAACTAACATATTATATAAATGACAATGAGAATTAGCCATAATCTATATACAATAGTATATAAATTACAATTATATATCATTACACTTTAAACAATTTACAAATAAATGTTTCACATGTTGAACATTTCTGTTATATATTTTGCATAAGTTGTTCTGAAATGTTGTATAGACTTCTCGTGCGCATTGGTACATGATTCTTGAATCTTTGTAAAAAAAATATAATTTCATTTAGTGTATAAAAAGAAAAATTACAAAGTATTTGATTCAATACAATTGTACTATATGAAAATATTGGTCGACGTTACAATGAGAATCAACTTACCGATAGGGGGTAGCCGATCGGTCAAGGCAACAACTTTAGGTAATTAAAGTCTAATTAAGAGAGCAACGGTCATTTATGGGCAGTTAATAGGTATATTAGCAGATATTAATGATTAATTAATGGTTTGATTGCCATATCAAATATAAATATAGAACATTAATGATTTGATTGTCATATTAAATATGAATATACGGTATTAATGATTAGTTAATGGGCTTGATTGCTATAAGGCCTATAAATATAACATTGATGTCCAAGTAAAAACACTTTTGATCTTAAATAAAAAAAAGGTTTAATACCTATTTTGGTCCATCAGTTTGTAAGGTGTATTCAAAGTTATCCTCCTTTTTTTCAAAAGTTCACAACTGTCTTATATTTTGCAAAAACGGTTCACGTTAGTTCTTTTTTCTTACGACGTTAAAAAAATTAACAGCAGAGTTGCCTATCCAGCAAAACCTTAATGAGTTGTACAATTTCTTATTGTGTGGCATTGCTTTGCATTTCCCTCACTCTTCTACACCTTCCTCCTCCTCCTCCTCTGAAAACCTCTCTCTGGTGGAAAACCTTTTTCTCTCCACTTCCTCAAACTCCACCATTTCTTCCTACCTCTACGCCCTCACCTTGCACCCTCACCTCGCCGGAAAAAAATTGTGTTTTAAAAGGAAATTATTTACTTAATTTTCAAATTTAGTTAAAAGGTATTATGAGACAAACACGTGAAAGAGAAGAGGCACAAGGAAGTGTTGAGGGAGGAGAGAGACATAAACATAGGTAGAGCTGCAATTGCTAGAGTGGAAGTAGTCCTCCCCGACTTTCCATTTTTGTTCTTCTGATATAGTTTCAGTTCATCTTAGTGGCGCATGATTAAAGCGAGGTTGAGATTGAATTTAAATTTGGAAAAAGGAACTTGTGTCATTGTATATTTCCAGATCTTGTAATACTGTATTTCCTCAGATCTTGTGCCACTGTATATTTCCATATCTTGTAATACTCTGCTCTTTCTCGTATATGCGTAGAGATTGTATTGATTGAAACTGTTTTGGTGCCCTCACCCACACGGCGACCTACACCACACTCCTCTACCGGGCGCCGGTGCGATGGGAGTGAACGTGAGCGGTTGTGTGGCGATTGTGCGGAAGGGCAGGAAGATGGGGCGCGACACAATAGTGGAGAGAGCGGAGGCGCACGTGACGGCGACGATGTTGGTTTACGGCAAGGGTGAGACACTAGGATTGGAAGATAGTGAGGTTTTTTATCCTAGTAAAACACAATTGAGTAAACAAATAAAAATCGGTTAAATTATTTCTGAACTGAAGCTACATATAAAGCTTAAAAAACCCAAGCAAAGTTCATTTCTTTGATCTCAAAACCTCAACGTTGAACACAAAAAGGGGAAAAGGGTATTGGGGCTTGGGAAGCAGCGTGCCATTATGGATTTCACAGCGGAGAACATTAAATTCTTCTTCTCAATTAGCGTCAACCCTTGATTCAAGCAACAAAGAAACCGAAGAAGATGGAAGGAGATGAAGAAGTGTAATTGGTTAATGGTGACGATGATTATAGTGATGAAAGAAGATGAAGAAGTGTGATAAAGCTTTTGAGTGAAAAGGGGAATGACATGTGGCAGTCTCTTATTGGCTCAGCTTGCCAACTAATTGGACTAATTGGACAAGTCATTTAATTTTTGCCAAGAGAACAACTCTGCCAGGAGAAGTGTGATGCTCGGGTTGTTGTAGATTTTTTTAGATCTCACCTCTTTTGTAGGTTTGGAGTTCCCAGAGCAATTGTTAGTGACCAAGGAACCCATTTCTGCAACAGATCCATGCAAGCTTTGCTTAAGAAATATGGCGTGGTGCATAGAGTCTCTACACCATACCACCCCCAAACAAATGGGCAAGCTGAGATCTTAAACAGGGAGATAAAGAGGATTTTGGAGAAGATTGTCCAGCCCAATAGGAAAGATTGGAGTAATAGGTTGGACGATGCTCTCTGGGCCCATAGGACTGCCTACAAAGCACCTATAGGGATGTCTCCTTATCGGGTTGTCTTTGGAAAGGCATGTCATTTACCAATTGAGATTGAGCATCGGACATATTGGGCTGTGAAGTCTTGCAACTTCTCCATGGACCAAGCTGGAGAGGAAAGAAAGTTGCAACTGAATGAATTGGATGAGATCCGGTTGGAGGCCTATGCGAACTCGAAGTTTTATAAGGAAAAAACAAAGAAGTTCTATGATAGTTCAATTGTTAGAAAGGACTTCGAGGTTGGCCAACAGGTTTTATTGTATAACTATAGACTCGGACTCATGGGAGATAAGATGAGATCAAAGTGGACTGGACCTTTTGTTGTGACTAATGTTTATCCTTATAGTACAGTTGAGATCCAAGGTCCATCCGCAGCTGAAAGCTTCAAAGTTAATGGGCACAGACTGAAGCCTTTCCTCAACAATCCTTCTTTGTTGGATGCAGTGCTGGAGGAGACGTCTTTGGTCGACCCCGCCTCTTTTCCCCTCTGACTCAGGGAGTTCTCTTTTCTCCTTCCCTCACTTTTATTGCACTTATCTATATCTTTTGACTGTTCTGTTTGTTAATCTGATGATTGTGACACATTGAGGACATTGTGTAGTTTAAGTGTGGTGTATTAGGGGAGATTTTTCTTTGTTTAGGTCTTGTTTTCTAGGTAGTTTTTGTTGTGTCTTGTGTACAGTTTTACCTATTTCTCTTGCTTTTTGGACTTTGTTTGGGTTATAGACTTGTCATTTCCTTCACTTGATTGATACTTATTGGTTTGAAATCCTTTGCTTTTCTTTGTTTGGAAAGATGATTATGATGTTTGAGAGGTTGATTTGATTGTGACAAATACCCTATGTGAGATTTGAGCCACTTTATGTTCTTTCTTGTGTGTGATATGTCTCTTGATTGCTTGAACATATGCCTTGGCTTGACTTTTGTTGATAATTCTTGATTGATATGCATGTTTGGAAGTGATAAAGGCAGTTTTGTTCTTGAGCCTCTCTAGCCAAATAAGCCTACCTTGTTCTAATCCTTTGATAACCCCTTTTGAGCCTATACTTTCCCCATTTCTTTGTTTTGAAGCTCATAACCTAGCCCTAAGTGAAAAACCATGATTACCTTAACCTTATGGAATTTTGGAGCTTTGGAAGTGTCTTGGGAACAAGTGTGGTCTCCTTGGGGATTCTGATGAATGAGCTAGTTGGTTCCTCTTTTTGTTTTGGTTTTGGAAATATGATTTATATCTTGTCTCTTACAGTTGTGTGCTAAAGAGAGAAAAGAAAAGAGACAGGATGAGAAAAGAAAAAAAATAGAGAAAAATGAGAAAAAAAAATTGTAAATAATGGAGTCAAGAAGAGGATTGAATTAAAGGTTTTGGGTGTGATTTGACTATGTTTACACTTATTCCCCATTGCTCCTCTATTTCTTTTGGTTTATAGCTTCTCATCCATATGTTATCCTCCCTTGTCCTTGGCCGTATTACAACCATGAAAAGACCTTTTGATGTGAACATGCATATGTTTTGAGTGTTGAGGTTAGAGACTTGCCAAGTCTGTTGTTGCCTGCTTTCTTGAGTACATTGAGTTGAAACTGTTTATCCTAGACACTTGAGAGATACAGTGATAGTGCATTTGTGAGGTTTTGTTACTTTTGATTCACCTTTTGAGCTGATTGATCATTTTTTCATGATTGGAATTGCTTGGATGATTTCTGTGAGTATCTGCTTTCTTTGATTCTGTGTTGCGTATTGTCT